GCACTCGAGTGCATATAAGCATTTTCCAGCGTGCACATCGACTTACGCATGTGGTCGTCCTCTGCTCCGTCAAATAGAAGTGGTATGGTGTCTTTGTGACCAAGATTTTCTTTCGGATCCACTCAAGATCACACGCGTGCCTTAGAAAACAAATAAGGGTGGTTAAGTTTATTGATATTGCAATATTGTGAGAAACGTGGAGAAGATCTTGCATCTTGCGCAGCAACATAACCACAGAGCTTACGTGCGTTGTTAAGTGCATTTGCGAGGAGCATTATTCGCATGGATAAAACAGTAGTAATAGCCTCATTCCTCGAAGAAAAAACAGGAAATGGAGGTATAGATGTGTTGATATTTCGGCAACATGTCGCTATCGAAATATTAACACATCTATATCTCCATTTTCCTGGTTTTCTCCGAGTAATGAGGCTATTACTACTGTCTCACAATCGCAGAACTGTTAATTCGTTGCATTATTGGGAACTGAAAACTGCCTGATGGGGCGCCGAATGGTAGTAAAGGTTCCCGCTTTCCGTTAGAGATATGTTTGGCCAGGTGCGGACTGGCTGTGGGACAACAATACTTCTGTCATGACTAAAAAAGTAAAACTTGGGTTCATTGTGCGAATAGTAACAGTAACCAAATAATGTGCTAATAAGCCGCAGCTGCCACGTTTCTTTCTCGGCTGACCCAATTATGTTATACTATGAGACTTTTGGTAGGTGCTGATATGCTACAAAATTTTAGTAAGTCATTTATGTCATGCCGCCTTCAGTTTCTTGCGAAATGTAGTTCTAAAAGCATATTTATTTGGAAACGTTTAATTTCGTGAAGATTTTCATGCTTTTGAACACGCGTGAGCGGACGTTAAAGATCGGTGTGCGTACCTTCACCAGCCAAGTTCACGAAAGGCGAATATTACAATACACTGATAAGCCCTATCTGCATGGGTTAAAGAAAGCGACAGGCTTCATTCACCTGTGTTCAGGATCATCTCCATGGTGAAAGAAGCCACACCTGTTGTCACCGCCCTCTTCCTGCACCGTAAAGGGTGACTTAACTAATCAACCAGGAAGCTCGCCGAAAAGGGCGAAAATGGCGGATTGGGCCTAACAAAAAGCTCTCACATTTCATTTTGTCTAGATTGGGAACTACTTACCTCCAGCTCCAACAAACCCAGAACGCCCAAATTGTTTTCGCTTTTGCGCTTTGTCAGCGGCAGTAATGATATGGAATCAAAAGTAAGCGCCGCCAGGACAGGAGAATCGCCAGACTTTGCTGACCTATAGACTTCATTCACTAGCGATTTGATATCATCACATTGGCGATGGCGTTCGTGTCGATCATCTCCACGCTCTTTCTAGACTAAACAATATTCATGCTGACGTCAAAATCTTGCTGATTTTTTCGGCACAAAGAGAGATCGTCTGACAGAAAGAAACAAATGCCCTAATTTCTTGCACAATCAGCTAAAACAGATTGGCAGGACCAATCCTTTTACAGACGCATCCCATTTACGAGTTGGGTACATTTTTTTGCTGCGCGGGCGGTGAGGTATACAGATAAAGATATATATAAGATATGATCGCTATCGAAATAAGCAAGTGACAGGGATATGCTTCATGTGCTACCAGCGATTTGATTCCTCCATTGGTCGGCGTACGTAATTTATGCGTTTGTTATGCAATACTTTGTTTGTACGACAAAAAAATCTGAAAAATAAACAGTGAGCTGAGAAATAGATGTGTTGCACCAGATTGGCAGGCACCAAAGAGCAGTGATACCGCTATCTGCCGGTTGCTAAACTACACTCTGGATTGCAGGATTGCCAACAAAATCACAAACCGGGCCCTGCAACCAACCATTCAGCTTCTGAAAAAAATACAACGTCGTGGTGTCGTGCGTTTCATTAAGAGAATGGTGGAAGCAGGAATAACATTGAGCTTGATTGCATACTTTCAGGAGGTATCTTGTCAAGCAAGGCGTTTCGACGAGCGGCGTTGAACGAACAAACAGTCGTTTTTGAGTAAACAATGTAGGCAACTGCGAAAGGCTAAGATAACATAAACAATACTCTGTTTTGCACGCAAATTTCTTTATACGTTGTCATAATTTTATAAAGTATTGGTCTGAATGCGAGCCAAGTGGGAAACGAATTCCACCTAATGATACTTTTGATGGCGTTCTTTAAGCCCACAGCGTGACGGCAGGGGAGCGAAACACAACTACTTGAGGTGTTGGGGTTTCTTAGGTCTGAAAATGCTGCTTCTTTGAATCAGTCTTGTCAATTCATTGTAGGTATCATATCGGCTGTTATTTTTGGGCAGGTCAAATTGAGTTTCGTGATGCTAGATTCCAGAGCATCTCTACAAGTGGACGCAATATTTAAAGTAAACTATCCTCCCATAGAGCTAAAGCAAAGCCAGAAATTGCGGAATTATTGCGGCGAAGGCCATAAGCTGTCAGAAAGAAAATTGCTAAATCCGTAGATAATCCACAAACTTCTACACATTTTTCAAAAAAAGGATTTTTTTTGTGGAGATACTAATTACCATAGCAGTTTGCTGGTTTTATTTTTACTACAACTAGAGGAAACTTTACTTCTTGGCTTTTCCAACCTGAACAAATAACGAACAAATTTGCTACCACAGTTTTTGCGCCTAGTCTTTAGATTGAGCTGAGCGCCGTGAATTCAAACACCACCAAATTGAGTGTGCCACTGCTGCGTATTCGGCCCGTATTCGGCCCCAAGTTATGCAACATTGTTTATGCGTTTAGGTCCGTCCCGATGGTTCAGCTGGTTACGGCGCCTGCCTTCCGATACATCCACCGGTGGGTTCGAGACGCCTCAGGCGCTCGTTTTTGCCTTTGATAGCTATGGCCTGCAGCCGGCGGCAGCGGCCGCGATTAACGTCAGAAGACGTCAGAGGGCAGGACGGACCGTGCCGAGCATTGCAGCACGTTAAGCTTTCGCCATAAAATTCTGCCGTTGACATGAAATTGCATAATCGGATGGAGGGGGTTAGGGCTCACACAACAAGCGCTGCTTAGCGTGAGATCTGATCCCAGAAATCCATCCATTTAAAAGGTTCGGGTAAACTCTTAAAAAGGCTGTTCACCCAGGCATGTATTAAGTGCGTCAGACGTGGGCCAAAAGCAGGTGACATCATGATAAAAAGTGTAACGTTTAATACATCCCCGAGGCTGCTCAAATGGAGATTCAAGGAGGCTTGCTCGTCGCAAGGTACGTCATACCTATGGTGCAATGTCCTCCTAAATCTTCTTGATTGCTTATGTCCAGAAGAGAGCTGTAATCGATAAGCCAGCGTTTATCGTCTGCAACCAACACAGGAATAAATAATGTGCTAGGTATGCAAAAATGCGATCAAAATGCATTGGGCTCTTCTTCTCGAAGTCTCCACAGAGAGACCAGACTGGAGACGGAAGAAAAATGCAACAGTTATGTGCAGCAGCGATCATTATTGAAAATTGTGACGCATTCAGCAAAAAAAATCACGAAGGCAGAAGGTCGGTTTATAGCCAGAGGCTATGTACTTGCGTCTGACGCGAAATAAAGCCTGTGTAAACGGACCACAAACGTGAAACTTATAGCGGAGAAAAAGCTCTCCACTCGCCATAAAAGTACGCCACAACCTGCTAAGCGCCTACCTCAGCAATGGTTTTTCATAAGGCCCAGTCTACTTAAGCGCCGGTCCACTGCCACGAGCTGAAGATATGCCTTACTCACCGGGCTGACTGATGCCCGGATGCTCCGATTATTTTGGGATTGATGTCATGAGTGCGCATGCGTTTTCAATGACATCGCCTTTTCAACCTAACCTGACCTCCACGATAAGAGTGGTATGTGCCTAGGTGAGTGCTCACACCAATCCAAAATATGAATAAAGATCTTAAGAAAAAGCGGATATTGGTTCCACATGTCAGTGCAGCCCTTCACAAAAATACTCAGCTTCCGACTGTCCTCTGAGGAGTCCAGCCTGTCCAGGTCAGGTCTGGGTCGCACGGTGGTTCAGCGGGAGGACATGGGTGCCGTCGGCCGAACAGACACGTGCGGCGTCGACCGCGCCTGCACGCACCGTAGTCTAACGCATAGTCACGCAAATTTCTATCGTGATGTATATATACATATATATATATATATATATATATATATATATATATATATACAAAATAAACGGGAAAAAAGCAGAACAGCCTGGGTTCTCCCGTGCTGTTTCCCAGGCAACGCACGCAGGCAATCGGCCGCTTCGGTGGATGCCGAGAGACATCGCAAGCTTTCCTGGCCCACATACTGGACGCGACAGACCCTCCAGCCTTCTGCAGCGGCCTGCGCCGGTTGCCAACCGCCGCCCTCTGGTTGTTTTGAAACGGTCCTGTGACGCCTGTGACGCCTGTGACGCCTGTAAAGTCCTGTGACGCACTGTGACGTGCTGCGACGTCCTGTGGCGCCTTGTGACACTCTGTGACGTCTGTGACGTCCTGTGACGTCCTGTGACGCCTGTGAGGCCTGTAACGCCTGTGACGTCATGTGACGCCCTGTGACGTCCTGCGACACTCTCTGATGACTGTGACGTCTTGTGACGCCTCGTGACGTCCTGTGACGCCTGTGACGCCCTGTGACGTCCTGTGACGCCCTATGACACTCTGATGCCTGTGACGTCTGTGACGTCTGTGATGTCCTGTGACGTCCTGTGACGTCCTGTGACGCCCTGTGACGTCCTGTGGCACTCTCCGATGCCTGTGACGTCTTGTGACGTCCTGTGACGTCCTGTGACGCATGTGACGCCCTGTGACGTCCTGCGACGTCCTGTGACACTCTCTGATGCCTGTGACGCCTGTGACGCCTGTGACGTCCTGTGACGCCTGTGCCGCCCGTGAGGTCCTGTGACGCCTGCGACGTCCTGTGACGCTGACGTACCTGTGTTTCGTTGAGGCTCAGGTGCTTGGAGAGCTGCATCCCCTTGCTGACGCTGACGTACCTGTGTCTCGGTGAGGCTCAGCTGCTTGGAGAGCTGTGTCCGCTTGCTGACGCTGAGGTACTTGTTCTTCTCGAACTCGGACTCCAGCGACTTGATCTGGGAGGCGGTGAACGCAGTGCGTGGCCTCTTCTTGCGCTCCTCCTGGGAGCAGCACTCGTCTGAGGCCATCCCAGGCCGCGTCAGTACAAGACCACCCGGACACCTGCCCCTGAGTGTGACAGGAAGTGTTTAGCCTGTGGAGGAGCGGCCCAGCAGCATCTGGGCTTGATGCGGGTGAAAGTGCCTGGGGAAACTGGCGTTTAAGAAGTCACATCGAATTGGGGATCATCAGGAAATGTCCGGGAGTCGCGGCAGCTGCTGCACGAGCATGGAGATGGGAGCCTGAGCCCGGGCCGCTCGTATGACTGCCATGTCAGATGGAGATGGATGTCACCGCCTGGTTCGCTGGTGTAAACGCGACCTCAGGTCTCGCACTCAGCGTCAGAGGCTCGTAGACTCGACGGGTAACAAAGCACCGCAAAATTAGTCAGCTCAGTGCTTGTGTGAGGCAAGTCTGAAAAGTGCTCGGGCCTCGAGAAAATTGTGATATTTATAGAACATGAATGAAACAGTTCCTTCACAACTTTGGTAGAGGGGACCTGTTGAGTGTTATTGTGAGCATATGTACAAAAGAACACGCATTCTTCGTAGCGGAGCGTGCGTGAAGGTTGTGTCCACCGCCGTATTCATGCGTCAATGTGACAACGATTCTTTCTATTTTGTTCCACTACTGGTGTGGGACACGAAAAGAAATAAACCGCTTCCCCGTAACAGTGTGGCATTAATTTCGAGGTAAAGATCTGATGCGTATCAATAAAAATGGCTGCAAATCGCGAGACTCGGCATGCAGTGTTATCAAATGCCCTGCGTAAGGCTGAGGAAGTGGTGCAACGGCACTTCCGCAATCATGCCTGCAGTTAAAAAGGCAACAGGCTGTTCTCTGCAAGGTAGACTCGGTAGCTGAAATGATGCGTCTCATCATGGTCCAGCAGGCTGTAAAAATTACGCATTCTGGCATCACCTGGCACATCACGAATGGTGGTCAGTGTTAATTTGGGATGACTTGTTGGTCGCACATTTCCGTACCCCATAAAAGGCCATTACGCAGTCCATAGACGCAACACATCGCGCGCGCATTTTTAAACCACGAGGACCAGGACATTGTTCGTCAGCATTCATAGCCTACAAGGCAAAAGTTCATGAACATATAAAATTATCATGATCGAAAACAAATTACCCAAAACTGTCTTAATGATAAAGCGAAATCTTACAGATGTTTTGGCTGAAATTCGCGCTCAGCCGGATGTTGCGCAGAATGCTGCGCACATAGCCGACCGTCGGGGCCGAGGGTGTCCCACATACTGTACGGTCAGACGGGAGGGGTTCCCTCGCGCCGCCCGGCCCGCGACGTACCTCTGTCGCGGTCTCCGGGCACGTCGCAGTCCTGCACGGACGTGGTGACGCAGTCCGTCACCTCCTCCTCCTCCTCCTCCTCCTCCTGTCCGGGCGGCGTGGGCAGCGGCGGCGGCGGCGCGCGCTCGTCGCTGGCGTCGGCCGGGCAGGCGGCCGGCGGCGAGGCGGGCCGCGTCGCCTCTCGCCGCAGCAGGCTGTCGATGGTGAAGCTGACGCCGGCCGGCGCGCGGAGCGCCATCGCGCACCACAGTCGGCGGCGGCGCGGCGGCGGACGACGCCGGCCCACCTGCCGCCGCCGCCGCCCCGTCGACGGCGACGGCGACCGCCCCGCCCCCAATCGCGCGCGCGCGCCGCCATTGGTCGGGCGCGCGACACTTCCCGGCATAGCGGCCGTGATGAATAGATCCACCCGAGCGCCTGGGAGCCGGCACCACTATGTAATGGGTAATTAACACCCGGCGCGGCGCGGCGCCTGCGGTGGTTTGTTTGCGCCCGCGTCGGCAGCGATGCGGCGTATTCGCCGCCGGCGCCAGCGCGGCGATGCCAGATGTCGGCGCCGGCGCCCAGGGCAGCTCCAGACACCGGCGGGCTTCCGGCAGCCGCCGCCGGGTCGGCCGGTGCATGGCCTGCCCCGGCCCCCAGCCTCTGTCCCCCGCCTCTGGCCGCAGCCTTCGCCCCAGTCTCTGAACGGGACAGAGGCTGAAGGGGCTGTCGCGCGGTGGCTGCCCGCGGACCCCACCGTGCGGCAGGCAAATGAGGTTGTTGAGGCTCTTAGGAAATAGATGCGCAGCTTGGTTACGGCCGGGTTGGATGCGGTTGGTGGGGGCTAGAATGCCGGAGCAATGGTCATAGCAACCATTTTTTAATTGCTACGCATCAGATGCTTTCTTCGAAGTTAATGTTAGGTTTTCAAGAGAAAGCGGTTTATTTCTTTTCGGGTCCCACACCAGTTGTGGGACACATTAGAAACAATCAATGTCGCATTGACATATGAATACCGGCGGTGGACACAGCCTTCACGCATGCTTTGCTGCGAAGAATATGTGTTCTTTCGTACATGTGACCACAATGACACTCAACAGGGCCCCCCTTCCAAAGTTGTGAAGGGACTATTTCATTCATGTTCCATAAACATCACATTTTTCGAGGCGCGAGTATTTGTCCGACTTGCTTCACACAAGTACTGGGCTTACTAATTTTGTGGCGCTTGTTGCTCGTCGAGTCTACGAGCCCCTGACGCTGAGTACGAGACCCGAGGTCGCGTTTGCACCAGCGACCCAGGCGGTGACATCCAACTCCATCTGACATGGCAGTCATACGAGCGGCCCGGGCTCAGGCTCCCACCTCCATGCTACGGCAGCTGCTGCTCCAGGACATGCTAAGCTGACGGGTGATCCATCTCATTATCCGACTTGGTACGCCGTTCGAAATAAAAGCTGCTGTTTTGTTCACTGGGCTTCATCCCACGATGCAGTACAAAAGTAGACCGACTGAACTAAGACCGATGAAGCATTCCTCACGCAGATTTCCGTACAAAGTTTGATTATTTGTCGAGGTTGTTCACTAGCATCTCTGCTAACTAAAGCGTGATACCTCCAGGTCTACCAGTGGCTCACTTCCCACTCTGCAGCATTTTTGCAAGCTTTCAGGTTAAACACTGGCTGGCGTGGTATATGGGCTGATGTTCCATTGCTATGGGGCCGGAGCCGTGGCGTTCCAGCACCGTATATATGCTGTATGTTGTCACCACGGCACAGTGAGCCCTTATTACCTCACACCCAAAATGTACGTGGAGACGGCACACACACATGGTGACGATAGTTACCGTTGACATCATGAGCTCTCATTTCCTAAATTTATTTCGTTTTCCTAGTTTTGGTTCATCGGTGTGAACGGCTGATGGTTGCTGGCATTTGGAAGCAAATGTTGAAGCATTTAGTCAGTGGTGTCAATTTGTTGTAAATTTTGGGGGCTGAACTGAAGGCTCGGCAGCCTATCCTCACAAAACTTTGTAATTCGCAACGGGTTTTATCCACTTTACTCTAACGCATGGCAATTTTCCTTTTCAATTTTGTAGCATTTATCACGTGGTCCTGAATTTGAGTGGCATAGTAAAAATACAGGGGCGGATCCAAAGAGGGTCCCGTGGGCACGTGCTCCTTCCAGTCGAGAAGCAAAGGCGCCGATCTCGAGGCCGGCGCTCATTCGGCTCAAGGACTCATTCGGCACCCCGGCGGTCTATACTAAGGACGAGAAGGACGCCCTTAATACTTCAAGGGCGCCCAACAACTGGATGCACCCCCGATGGCTCCTGGGGAGATCATAGTTCGAAGGCACGTCCCGAGGGTTAGATAAACTGGAACTCACTAGGCAATGCAACAATGTCTCAAACCCTGGCGGGGGCGTCCGAGGGCGCAGAGATAACCGCTGACGTCCAAAAGATGTCCAAGTAACAGGCCCAAGACAATCTAGATAACCAAATGGCGTCTCAAATACTGATGGGACGTGACCGAGGTCTGAAAGGGGTGCCTGCGATCCCAGAATGTGCCTGCTGGCGAAAAGAACGCCTTTAAGTACTAGAGACGCCTCAGGGGCGAATCCACGGGATCAAGGTAGCCCCTGAGGCAGGAAAATATCTCCAAGATGTAAAATGGCCGTTCAAATCCGGAAGAACTTCCTATGACATCTGAACATTATTCTTCGGTTAGGTCGCCATAAAAATAGCACGGTGTTCCCGAGTCTGGAGAAGTGTCTCAGTACGCTAAAAGTGCGTCCCTGTCGCCTGAAAACATCAAGAACCCGATAAAGGCGCCCTTAAGAATAGAAGAGCCCCCCAGGGACTCTATGAAGGTATGGGATAACATTGCTGTTGTGAAGGCACCATCATGGTGTTTGAAAAATACACACTGGCTACCTTCACGCCGGTTAAGTTTCAAAGCACACTGAGTACACACAAGTTTTAAGACAGGATGTTAAAGTTCCAATCGTATCTGTGTAGAATACGGGAACCTGTTACGCCTATTATACGAATGAAATCGAATGCGTCGTAGAATGAAAGTCACGTCCGTGTGCTGCACTTCGGCACCGTCGTGAACCTCGGGCCATGCAACGGGTTTCTTCTGTGTGTCACGCTCAACGCCGCATTCCAGTAGTCCCGTGGCAAATATTCTGTCCCGCTAGCGTAGTAGCACGTGCACTGTGCACTGAAAGTAGCGCCTTCAGGCGGGAGCTCACACTTCCAGAGGCTTGGCCTGAAGGCATCCAAGTTGCAAGTTGCAATAATCTCATTCACACAAGTTGATTAGCCAAGTCAAATATGGAGACTAGGCCAAGTTTCTGGCTTTGAAGATGAAATCAAAGTCAAGATAATGTCATGAAGCCGAAGTCGAAGCCAAACCCAGTGACCTTGAAGTGTGGGTCCGACAAGGCGACGCCGAAGCCAGTGACTTCGTGTTTTTAAACAAAAAGCATAATTAGAGCCCACGCACTTTTAGCTTTTTACCCGGCGAGCCGAAGCCGAAGCTAACGGCTTCGAACTTGGGAAACGCCGAGCGGAAGTTGAACCCATCAACTTAGGAAACGCCGAGCGAAAGCTGAACCCATCAACTTAGGAAACGCCGAGCCAAAGCTGAGCCCATCAGTTTAAGTTCCCGAGCCCAGCGCCGTATGGTATACACCGCTGCTCTGCGAAACCCAAACCATATTTCCGTCCGCTGCAGTTGCATGAAATCATAAAATTCATTATGGTCTTGTGAAGTGATTGAGATAGGGTGTAAGCGTAACCAATGGAGGATTTTCATACCGTCACCCTTGTCTTTTGTGTTGGCGTGCGCACTATGCTTCGGGCAGTTAATTATGTGGTCCTTGTCGGTTGTTTGTTGGTCCTGAGATGGGCTGGGCGGTTTTTGGCTTTAAACCATCTATGCGCCGTAGCATTACAACAATTGTGTGGCATACTGGGCTTAAAGTACGGATAATTCTGTTCTTGTGAAGTTAAGTCGCAACTGTGGTGAAAAATCACCATGGCAAATCCGAAGCTAGCGGTTCAAGATTGCATGAAGTCAGGACCGGAGTCATAATTCAGAGATCATGTTCGTCGCCAACGTTGGAGCCGAGGTTAGCAGTTAAAATGGCACCAACCTGAAACTGAAGCCAAAGCCAGCTATTAGAAATGGCGCCAAGACCAAACCGAGGCCAACTGTTTCAACCGGTACGAAGTCAAAGTAGAAGCTGAAGTCGGCCCTAAAAATCGCTCAAAGCAGAAGCCCAATCTGAATGTATTGGAGAAAACTACGGCTTCGCAAAGATTAAGCCTAAGCCTTGTGTTCATGCCAGAGTCGAGTCTTCAATTTAAAAATTCAAGCCAGACCAAACCGCTCCGTTCCAAAAGTGCCAGACCTTCCAGTTCAAGCACCGCTTCCATACCGTCAGAGAAAGTTAACGACCGGCGGCAGGCATCGTGGTGCTGAAATCGTGCATCAATTCAGCAGGTACACACACCGACACGTCACTCCCTGGATCGAACGGTAAACCCCACACGGGAAATGTTTTGTGAATGCCAAAACACCTCGCAGTCCGAGGAAATCCTACGAGTTCCCGGCTCCCGCCAAGTTTGAGATTTGTTCCCTGATAGCCCCAAAATGTCTTAATCATATCAGACCGCTCAGACCACCTCGATGCATGATTACATGCATACACACATATGAATGTTAGCTTGCGTGGTGTCGGCCGCTTAGCGCCACGCAAGCAGCACATGTAGTGATTTATGACAAGCTCACCAAGCTCAATGGCGCACATGACGGCCTCAACTGTCGTTTTCATTCCCCGAGAACCGTGGAAAGTGTCGCTTTTCCGAGCAATGGATGATCGTCGCCGTGTTGTATGCCCACGACTCCAGCGACCCCCCTGCCGACACAAGGGTTAAAGGTAACACCGCGCAGAACGCAGCCGTCAAACACCCGGGCTGCGCCAAGCAGAAATGTGGGCGTCAAATGCACGCTTCCGCGACAAAGAAAGGTCGCTGGTAAAAAAGAAGTAGTACAAATGAGTCAATTGCGTCCTATGAGCAACAATCATCCCGGCTTTCTGTGTGTTTGACTCAAAGGTAGCGATGCCAATCCAGAAATCATCTGAAGCAAATTTGTCGCCAACAACTTGAGTGCTAGTTACGTTTTTGTTTACTGGTGCCAACGTGCCAGGTTTGCACAGTCTACTTTACTTCGACCTTTTACAATAAACTCAAGTCCACCGCGAACTGGGTGGCCCAACGGGAAGCCATGCGCGCTTCTTTGAATGCCGTAAATGCAAACCATCATTGGGGTAATGCGTGTAATAAATGACCTCTCTCCGAAACGTTTCGATTTTTCGAGATCAAAACACAATGAGAACAGTGCGCTCATTTAAATTCTCGTCAATCAGTCCACTAACCCCCATCCCCCCACCCGCCTCCTGCTCCAACAGCATACAAGAGGCCTGCGGTAGTGACTAGGACCGACAGCGGTGTCGTGTTTCTGTTGGGGGACAGACACCGCACCGGCGGCGCGCGGCGGTACCTCAGTGTCGCCAGGTCCGGGCGTCTCTCCCCCGTCGGCGAGCGTCGCGCCCGTCTTCCGCGCCACCCCTCGTCTCGCGCGCCCCGCTCGTCTAAATGCGTCACTGAACGCAGTATTAATCACCCGCTATTCCAATTAGTTTCTCGCCAAATTCTGTTATCTGTTGTTGGCCCTGGTAATTGCCCCAGATGTTTTGCACTCTTTAATTTGTCTGGCCTGTCTCGTTATTACATTCCAGGCTTGGCGGGCGTCCCGCGGTGCTATCTGTCTGATGTCTCATTTATATCGGTCGAGACTGTCCGCTCCGTCGCCAGACCTCAGGTGAGTTCCCCCCCCCCCCCCCCGGCCAGGCGAGGGGAAGCTCAGCCGACGCGCGGGTCACGGGGTGTCGCGGCCGACAGCGGGGTCAGAGGTGAGCCGACGGTGACGGTGGCGCCAGCCGAATGACGAATACCCTCAAACAATGCGCGTCCAGTGTCGCGGCTGACCGGCTGGCGGATTCCGCTCACAGGCGTCGGCGGTCCCCCGAGTGCCGTGTGAACGGGAACGAGGACGTCCGTGGAGACGGCTGACGGCGACGGCGATGGGGTGGATTGAGGCGGGGAGGACGGTTGAGGACGGAGAGAACGGCTGAGGACGGCTGAGGACGAAGAGAGCAGATGAGGACGGGGAGGACGACTGAGGACAGAGAGGATGACTGAGGACGGCTGAGGATGGACAGGACGAATGAGGACGGAGAAGATGGCTAAGGACAGAGAGGTGCACGCTCGAGGATGGGATAAGGGCGTCGGAAGACGTGGGTGACGCAGCTCGAGGTGGGCGCCGGAGATGGAGGAGTAGGAGGAAACCAAGATGGAACGATATCGCTAGACACATAGAGGCTACGGTGTGCAAGGATGGAGTCCCTTATAATAAGCAAGGATCATGTTATGTACATGAAAAGCACGGGAAATTTTGGCTGGTGTCCGCAATGTCCATGAGCAGGACTTACGAAGTAGATAAGAATACGTAAGTTAAATTTGGCAAAAGTTTTGCCTGTAATTGTGACGCTAATTGTGATAAGAATGCCTTCGTGATCGTTACTCTGTCCCTAACTTTTAAAATTGGCTTTGAAAATTCGCATCTAATGCTCAATCTCGAATTCATATTCGTTTAAGCAGTGTATACCGCGATGCACGCGCACGCTGGGTAATGAAGCGCTAAAAGCAGCTTAGTTGTTGTCCATCTAGGTAACTGTTTGCAATACGAGTCACGTATGTAGAAAGTACAAACAGATCTTTGCGTCAGCTCGCGTCGCAAAACAGAGCGCAGAAGCCGTGTCTGATCTGGATTGGTCCCCAATATATTTTATTTCCCGTCGTGTAAACGAAGCCGCGATGACATTTATGCTCGCGGTTTATCTCCCTGGTGTTCAACATTAAATCAGTCAATGCAGGCATTTATGTGGCCGCGCTGGCGTGAATTCCTTGCAAACCACAACACGTTTTACGGACGTAGAGCCAGCTGAGCTCATGAGACAGTCATCAGCTTCTGCGAACTAGACCGGGCCGAATCAGCGTCAATTTCCCGACGCCCATGTGGCGCAGCGCCTGCGTTTCTGGCGTCTCTGGCGGTGCGTCTGCCGGGCGCCACCCGGTCCCCAGGGACGCCCCAGGTGCGGGGGCCGGGAGGGGCTGGCCGGCCCCGAATCGCTCGTTCCAGGCGGGCGGCGCGTGTAAAACAGACCTGCTCTAATGAGCCGGAGTCGCACCGGCCGAGCCACCCGGCCGCCAGCCGCCGCCATCTCGGCCTCGTAAACCAGCGCGGCTCTAATGAGACGTGCCGTTGCAGGAAGTCGCTGCAACCTCCCGGCGGGCCGCGTCTCCGATCGCCGGCCATGTGGCCGTCACATGGCCGGCGGCGGCGGCGCGTGCCGGCGACGATCGCGGCGCGCCGGCGGCGAACGCGGCGCGTCGGCGCGCCAATCCTCCGCCCGCTAATTGGCGGCTATCGGCCGTTTGGCGTCGGCGAAAGGCGATCGGCCGGAAAAACGCGACAATGGCGGCGCGGCTCGTTCCGCTGACGGATGAGGCGGTTAGACTCCGGCCATTGTTTTCGTCGACAGCGACGCGGGGCCCGCGTGCCCGGCGCGCACGCGCGCGGTCGCGCCGCTTTAGCCGAATGGGCGCCGGCGACGCCGCCAGGTAATGGAGCACAGGTGATGGTCACCGGCGGACAAAGGGGTTGACGGGGGCGCGTCGGCGACGGGTGTGCGGACGAGCGCCGACGGGCACGGCGGCCGCCGCCGGCCGCACCCCTCTGCCCGCCCTATTTAGCGTTCCGACCCGGATGGCGCGCGATCTGTCTTGCTGCGGGACAGTGCTAGCGGCGCTGTCACAACACGGCGCACGGAGGCGGCGGCGCGGAGCGCGCGGGTGGGCCTGCCGAGAGCCCGGCAAAACACGCCCGCCGGCACACCCCGCTTGGGGGGAGGAGGAGGAGGAGCGGTGTGCTGGAGCTGCTGAAACAGTTGGGCGTATGGTGGGGGTTCCGCGCTATGTTTGGCTGAGTTTGGTGATGCATGTTGCCGAGTTACTTGCCAAGTTCTGTTCTGTCCGTGCCGTCTGCATTGAAAATGATTCTACCAATTGGCCGGGTACCGCGGTACACAGGTAAGAGGCACGCAGATTACAATATATATATATATATACATATATATATATATATATATATATATATATATGCAGCTCAATACAGTGCGCATTAAACAGTACGTTCACAGTGACAGTGGTGAACAGCGCTACCCTAAAAGCTTGCCGTCGAGATCAGCTTTCGCCATAGCGAAAAACTAATTAAGAAAAAGTCGAAAATGCTTCCCTGAGCCAAAAGGTTTACACTAGATATCGTGCGCTTTCACAGGCATTCGATCCAAATTCTCAGCAGCTCAGGGAAACTTTGGCATTTGCCCCCCCCCCGAAAAATTTCTGGATTTTCTGGCCACGTGCACGTAGGTACTGAGCACGTAAAGGCCTTAAGGTCATAACTTCACGGAATCCATAAAAAATAGGACAGGGGTGGTGCTCATTTTGGTGTATTGATGATGCAAGGAGACAAAGGAGATGGACGAAGAGGGGCAAAACTGGCAAACTTTCAGCCTTAATCCGTGTACAGGTGCAGAAGAATGGGGGGCGAGAGGAGAGAGAACAGAGAGAGGAGAGAGAGAGAGAGAGATAAGAGAGGAGAGAGAGGAAGAGAAGGAGAGAGGGAGGAGAGAGAGGAGAGAGAGAGAGAGAGGAGGAGAGGAGAGAGAGGGAGAGATAGAGAGAGGAGAGGAGAGAGGGAGAGAGAGAGAGAGAGAGAGAGAGAGTAGAGAGAGAGAGAAGGAGAGAGAGAGAGAGAGAGAGGATAGAGAGAGAGAGAGAGAAGGAGAGAGAGAGGAAGAAGAGAGAAGAAGAAGAGAGAGGAGAGGAGAGAGAGAGAGAGAGAGAGAAGAGAGAGAGAGAGAGAGAGAGAGAGAGAGAGAGAAGAGAGAGAGACCAAGAAGAACAGAGAACAGAGACAGAGAGGGAGGGAGCAAGAAAGAGACAAGTCGACGCAACAGCCGGCAGCATGTTGGTTTGAGTGGGTTTGGAGTGCCTTCTCCTGCAGCGGCGGTAGCAGTGACTGAGCACGCGCATCACGGTCGAGTGCAGCTGAAGAAAACGCAGCTGTATTTTGGACACCAAAATCCCACCGCGCACCGTCTCATGAGCCGCCAGTGCATCAAACACGTGCACGATGCATTGATCGCTAGCCCGAACCAAACAACCAAATTTTGGGCAAATCCGTCAGTCGAGGGGACAATAATTTATTTTTGTAAGCACGTCACCGACTAGATTCGCCCTGCCGGGGGGGGGAAGGGGCGGGGGAGGGGGGGGGGGGGGTACGGACTGCCAAGGACTGCCAAGTGCGATCATATCTGTTTGTCAGTATTTGTCGATGATTGTTCCGAAAACTGCTTCGGCTGATGAGACTCGACTTGTGTGACTGTGAACAGTTGCGGTACTTGTTTGCGACCCGAAATTATTTCGCACTTAACCACCGCTTCTCTCTCCATTCGATGCTCGGTGGCGATGGCGGCTATTTCAAACTTTTCCAGCCCTGTCGGTTGTAAGGCGATGCTGTCCTGCTGTAGCGATAGTGACTGGCACAATTAGGACAATGTGACCTTACCTGTCCGGCTGAGGTCAGTAAAAACTCAATGAGAGACGAACCCATAACCCTCCGGATTTAATTAAACATTCATTTGGAAGAAAAAAGGAAAAATGATCTTAACTAATCCTCCCATCAATTTAGCCTACAGAGTACGAATTGTTAAAAAGAACGTCCAACTTACCATCGGGCTGTGAGGAAGCCAGTGACTTGGGGCACGGTACTTTTCTAACAATGACCTTAGGCGTGTGGATTTCATGGCAGTTCGCTACACCTGTCGTGCTCATTCAGTAAATTGTATGCGGACAACATACAAAGCTTTGAACAAACTACGTCTTGGTACTGCATTTCAGCTGGAAAATGTCGCCCAAAGACATTGTGTACATTACAACCTACTGTAGATAACTTAGGTGCTATCATAAGGCACGACATCACAAAAGTCTATGGTAAGCGCTGCACAAGGAGCACGTCAGAGGCGTGGTACCCCCAGTAGTTCCCATCAAACGGGATGGGAACGGCATTACGACACTCAATACGCTTTTGAACATGACTACCGGTCTATTGGCTTATACAGGTGACTAGCAGCCCTATTCCTGCACCTATTTCATCGGCATGCATTATATACCAGCACAGCATGCATGTCGTGGCACGGGCTGAGGCGAGAAAACCCGCTGCCACCGTCCTTGCCTGAGCTTAGGACCAGTTCAGCTCTCATTCAGCTGTGAGCCCCGGCCAGATCGGCGTAGCCCGCGGCGTCCGGCGCCGGCTCAGAGCACCTGCACCACGCGCCAGATCCAGGGCATGTAGAAGCCGACGCTCGTGTACACGCCGGGCCTGAGCTCTGTGCCGCAGCCGGCGCCGAGCGACGCGACGCCGGTGGCCAGCCAGCGGCCGTCGTCGCCGCGGCAGGCCAGGGGACCGCCCGAGTCGCCCTGGCACGCGGCCGTGCCGCCCGACACGCGACCGGCGCACAACATGCGCCCGGTCACGAAGCGCGCGCGCCACACCTCCTCCGCGCCGCAGAACGCGTCAGAGACGAGCGGCCCCTCTCCGCCGTGCAGCTCGCGCGCCGCCGAGCCGCCGTGTTCGGCAGCAGCGGGTCCGTCCTGCCCAGCCGGAGATCTCAACCGGCTGGCCATTTCGCAGCGGCGCGTCGGCCGCCGGCAGGCACAGTGGCTGCACGCGGTCGCTGAACGTGACCTGCTGGCCCTGGCGGAGACCTAGCTTGACCACAACCAGGTCGTTGGCGTAGCCGCTCTGCGCAGTGGCTCGTTACTCGGGGCGCGAGGGCACATTCTCGATGCCAAACGCCTGCTCGTACGGCTCGGAGGCGTCCATGCGGTCGTGCTGGCCCACCTTGACCTGCAACCCGGAGAGGGCGCGTCTGAGGCAGCGCGCAGCGCTCAGCACGTAGCGCGAGCCAACCAGCACGCCGCCGCAGTGGTGCTCGAAGTGGCCGGCCTCGTTGTACGTCTCGATCTGCGCCTGCCACGGGTAGGTGCCGTAGGAGGCGCGGGAGCCGGACACCACGCGGTTGGCCACCCCGATCGACACCAGCACGCGGTTCTGCACGTCGCTGGCAGCCAGCGCCGCCAGAGGTCGGCGTCCTCAGTCGGCCGGCGGCACGGCCAACTTCGGCGTCAGCGTCGCGGATGGCGGCCAGCGCCGCGAGCTGGCGGCGTCCTCAGTCGGCCGGCAGCACGGCCAGCGTCGGCGTCAGCGTCGCGGATGGCGGCCAGCGCCGACAGCTGATGGCGCCCTCAGTCGGCCGGCAGCACGGCCAGCGTCGGCGTCAGCGTCGCGGATGGCGGCCAGCGCCGACAGCGGGCGACGTCCACAGTCGGCCGGCAGCACGGCCAGCGTCGGCGTCAGTTGTCGCGGATGGCGGCAAGCGCCGACAGCGGGCGGCGTCCGCAGTCGGCCGGCAGCACGGCCAGCGTCGGCGCCAGCGTCACGGGTGCCGCCGGCGGCCGCCAGCGGGCCGGCTGCAGCGGGTGCGCTGCCGGAGAAGAAGAGTGACTTCTCACTGGAGAGCGGCGCGTTGCCGGAGAACACGGGCTCTGCCGTCGGTTTCGACAGGGCAGGTCTCGTCTGTGTGGGCTTCGCGGCCGTTGAGATAGCGAGGGTGCTGCGACGAGATCGGCAGGCCGAGCGTCTTGGCCGACTCAATCATCCGGTGGATGGTCGGTATCAGCTCGGTCAAGCCTGAGTCGGGAAAGCGCTGAGCCCCGCCTCCAGTCCGCCCGCCAGGGCGGCGGTCACGCTCATCGCCGAGGCCCAGTAGTTGTCGGCACTGGGGTCGTCGATGATGCCGGCCGCGTTGTCACACGAGCTGTAGCCGATGAGGCACTCGCCGGAGCGCGGGCGGTCGGCGAAGAAGCTGCACGTGGGGGGCTTCGTGAAGAGCCACAGGCAATGAGAGGCGTGGGTGGCGACGGTGACGCCCGAGAACGGGATCTGGGTCGCCGGGTCGCAGAGGTTCTGCGGGCTGCAGTCAGTGCCGCGGGCGAGCGAAGCGGGCCGCCTCCGCTGCAGACGCGCGGCAACGCCGGCGTGCGTCCGACCCCGGAGGCGAGCGTCGCCTCAGAGAGCGGGGTCGACTCGCAGACTGGGGACGAGCGGCGGCGGAGTTAGAGCTTGGCCTGCGTACAGGACGCGGGCGAACGCCACAAGTCACGAGGAGTGTCACGGGGCTGTCCTGCGGAAGGTCACGGAGCTGTCTTGCAGATGGTCACGGAGCTGTCCTGCGGATGGTCACGGAGCTGTCCTGCGGATGGTCACGGAGCTGTCCTGCGGATGGTCACGGAGCTGTCCTGCGGACGGTCACGGAGCTGTCCTGCGGATGGTCACGGAGCTGTCCTGCGGATGGTCACGGAGCTGTCCTGCGGACGGTCACGGAGCTGTCCTGCGGACGGTCACGGAGCTGTCCTGCGGACGGTCACGGAGCAGTCAATATTTCACAGTCATCGACAAACAGCGAGCGTCGAGGCCCAGCTTATGACAGAGTTTCAGACAGTTTGGACCAGTTGTCCTTGTCCCGCCTGTTCCGTGCCAACGATTGCACCCCTAGCTACCGAAGAACCCCAGCAAAAGTCCGCATGCTTAGGCCGGGTACAGCTGACAAGATCCGGTGCTGCTGATGCTAGAGGAAGCCCCGTGCTATTGCCTCCGGAATGCAGGCGAGATAGCTGAGGCGGTGACGTTCAGGCGGAGCGCCAGTCTGGCTTAACGACGACCTGTGCATTAATTCGAGACGTCTGCAAAGGCCCAAAGGCAAAGGCGTCGGAGCAAACAAGCTGACAAATACCTGACAGCGGGTGCCGGCTGGACGCAGCTAACGCTGGCGCATCGGCAACACAACCGCCCTTCTGCGGAAGGACACCGCGTGTGACATTTGTTTGTGCTTAGAAGCGGCTCGTCCAAACCAGGCCGTCAAGTAGCCGAAGGCCCATGAGGTGGTGTTACCGGACACAACTGTCAGCCAATGAATGACTCAGGATACATGATAATAGGTGTCTACGTGCCACGAGACTGACCAGGTGCGCAATTTGGGTGCAGACTAACGGTATAGATGGCGCAAAGACGTTGCGTAGATCAGCCTACTTCGCCCCATAACAACAGAAAGCACAGCTCCGTGTTCGCGAACATGAATGGCTGCAACTAACACGTCTGTGCTTCTGCTCCCAAAAATTGCTTCCAAGATTTCAGCAGACGTGAAAAGTGTACAGCTTTTGCGAGTAGGCGCGAACCTTGCATAATTATAATGCCGATGTTGCGCGCTTTAACACCGAGCAAAACTATGCAAGGTTGCGAATCTCAGCGACCCAGAACGCGTACCTGTTGATGAGTTCGCCACTCTCTTGAGATTACGCGCTCGGCCGCACTGCTGCCAGAGCAGTATTGTCATGAGAGTGTTCAGCATGAGGGCGTTCGGCAGCGTTCTCATCCTGACGGCGTCCTGGACAAGATAACGGCACAATGGCGACGCTTGCTGTCGGCAGCGAGGTCCTGTTGCCGCGGCGAGCGCCATCTCTGGGCCGTGTGTCAAGTCACCGGGCGACTCGAAACACAGTAATGCACACCTCGATGTTCATATTCAGCGAAAGCGATACCTCATTCAATGCGCTCAGAAATGGTGCCAAAGATGCCTCAGGGTCCCCTGACCACCACCCAGACATTTCACGGAGCATCAGGCTGTTTGACCAACAGGAGTAAAAAAGGTCAGCTCTTAAACATATACAGAAATGACTGCTCACTGTCTCCTAAGCCAACCAGCCCTTGGGCTAATAAATGTTGCGTCACGTAAGCCTGAGCACCGGGCCGTGCCTCTGTTGCGGCTCCTGGCCGGCGCGCTGCCCTACATTTACTGCCCTGAGACGAGCGTTTCATTCACCTGCCGCGAGGTCCGCTGGTCGGTGACCTCGTCCCGATTTCGGATTTCACGGATTGTATAAAGCCATGTGTACCCATATGGAATGGGTGGCGGTTATGGGTACGGTTATGGACAACATGCTTACGAAATGTGTGCATTTTTCAAACAATGCTACACAAATTTGCTGTTTGTGTCTCACTTCGTCACGACTAGCCTTGCTTGCACTACTTTTGCGAGCAAGTATGGACACAGAAGAGAGGGACATAGTGTAAGCTTTCCTGAAACTTTTTGTGAGCTTTCCGGAGACCTGCACCCTGCAGATAGTTTATCGTCGTTATCTGCTGGGGTCACCGAGATCTGACATCAACCCTGAAAAACGCTCCCGACCCGCCTAATCTGCTCTGGCTTTAGTGATTTGCATCTTTGTCTGTACGATTACCTGTTATTTTTGGCGTCGAAGCGTGTTGACCCCGTTTCGCTGTGACCTGACGCTGCCGATGCTGCGAATTCGATTCCGACACGGGCTTTGGCGAACTTTGTCATTTCTCGAACTTAATGTTTCCCGTGTAAAGCCAGCGAGGCGCGTCTGCACGCGCCGACGGCGCCCCACCCGTCGAATCGGGTCCCAGATTTAGCCCGGTGATGTGCACCGGCTGACTTTGCCGCACGCCAAATTTCGTTTGGCCGTCTATCGCCAGCACCGAGCCGCAGATCTATTTGTGCACGAAGATAGACAAAGATTCTGAAAATTAAAGATAGATAGACGGTGTATGTGGGATAAAGTAAATTTGCTAATTCTGCTGTTTTCTTTTCCACCATTGTGCCTCGTTGTCAAGCACGGGCTGTTCACTCTCGATGAATTAATGAGACTGTCCAGTGACGTATCGAAGGAGATGACTTATAGTCACTATTTTTTTCAAGAAAAAGTGACGTTAGTGACGTACTCGTTTGCGCGCGTCATCTGACGGCCGACTGCTGTACACCCGGACTGACGGCTGACTGCTGTACACCCAGACTGACGGCTGACTGCTGCACATCTGGACTGACGGCTGACTGCTGCACACCTGGACTGACGGCTGAGTGCTGTACATCCGGACTGACGGCTGACTGCTGTACACCCAGACTGACGGCTGACTGCTGTACACCCGGACTGACGGCTGACTGCTGTACATCCGGACTGACGGCTGACTGATGTACACCCGGACTGACGGCTGACTGCTGTACACCCAGACTGACGGCTGACTGCTGCACATCTGGACTGACGGCTGACTGCTGCACACCTGGACTGACGGCTGACTGCTGTACATCCGGACTGACGGCTGACTTCTGTACACCCAGACTGACGGCTGACTGCTGCACACCTGGACTGACGGCCGACTGCTGTACATCTGGACTGACGGCTGATTGCTGTGCACCCGGACTGACGGCTGACTGCTGCACACACGGACTGACGGCCGACTGGCCGTCAGTCCGGGTGTGAATGACGCATGTCCAAGTGGCGCTTGTATAACTGTCAATACGGCACTTCTGTTTATGCTTTTCATCCTTTTCAAGCTGTGGTAACTAGATAGGGACTTGATTAAGTGCACATCTGAAACGAATTAACACAACAGGAAATAGGAAGCGAACACAAAATGCGTGGTCAGGTTTATGAAAATGGCTCGCAAATTTCACTCTGAAACTGTTTGATCATATCTCATTCCTTGTTTCCTTTCCGTGGTACTGTGTGTTTCGGCGCCGTTAGATCGGAATCACAAACATGAAATGGCGGAAAGGTGCATGGTCACGACATACTTCCCATGGACAAGTTAATGGGATGCCCCTGGTGGCCATCGATGGGTTTTAGCCTGCTATCCCTAGTTATCGTGAATTTCATCTCTGGTACCAAAATAGGTCCTAGTCTATTAATGCTTGCGTGAAAGTGTTTTTGTGCAACTGCGTGTGTCTAGACCTTGCTCATGCTCGGTCTGTCTAATTACTTGTGTAGCAAGCCTGACAGCCTTATATACTATCGTTAGTTGGGTTTGCTCCGCACAGAGTCTGCAGACCATTTTACTATGCTTGGTTATGCTTTAAAAATGTATTTTCATTGCGACAGAAGTCTTCTGAACAATACGCACAACAAAGCAAAAAAATATAATCTGCGGAAATCCGTCATTTTTGACTGATTGTTGTGCCATGTTTGACTGATGGTGACTTGATAAATAGCCCGCGGGCTTAGGTCAGGCGGAATGTACCGGAAGGGTGGGCCAAAAGTCCCATCTTTAACATGAATTTTACAGACTGCTCATGAGTTCAGTTTACTTGTCTGAACGTGGGCTCAATCTGGCCGCAGATGCTGTTGTGTAGTTGCGGACTTGATGGGCTGATATGCTCGAACATTGGTTTGGCAGCACACTCACTTGTTTCGCTATGATTCAGTCGTTCTACCGCCCGTCCGGTAGTCGGATTGACATCAGTCTCCCCTCCCACCAGGTTAGGCATACGGGTATGCGGTCAATAAGTTCAAATAAGAACTTATATGCAAACATATATATATATATATATATATATATATATATATATTTATAAATGGATTTCTGGGATCAGCGTTCACGCTAAGCAGTGCTTGTTGTGTGAGCCCTGACCCCCACCATCCGATCGCGCAATTCCAGGCAACGGCAGAATTTAGTGGCGAAAGCTTTACGTGCCGCAATGCTCGGCGCAAATAGCGAGCGCCCTAAAGCCACCCGAACCCATCCTGCCACGGGTGGGTGGGTCGGAATGCGGGCGCTCTAGCCAACTGAGCCACCGGGACGGAC